GCTTTACAGAGGTTTTCTCTTGTATATTTATTTAGTCATTTTGTTAGGGGGGAGGGAGGAACTCCTTCTGGCATCAGTTGAGTAAAAAGAACTGTCTTTCGGTTTTCTCTGGGCTGGGAAAATGCAGGGAGTATTTGACAGAGCATAGCAATCTTTCCTAGAGCGCTTGAATTTGAACTTGACTCTGGTGCGCATGAAGGTGGGAAGCAAAAAGGGAGAAGGGGGAGCAACAAGATGTAAAAGAGAGACCTCAGGCCAGCTTTTTGCATCGCCTATTGATGACTTGAGGCTATCAGTATAAATACATAGCCTCACACATTAGGAGCAGGCATATAGGTTTTAAAAATCTGGATTGTTTATACAGGTGCAGAACAAAGTCTTTCTTTAGAAAGATTAATGGTGGGGAGAGCGCTAGATTTTCTCTAAACAGTCGCAAAAACTGCACCCAGCCTCAGCGCTGAGCGGGTCATAGCCAGTTTCTTTTTCTTTAAAGTACCGCCTGACCCCAACAGTTTGTGCTTATGTTTTTCATAGCTCTTTCTTTTCCTTTTTCCTTCTTTTTTCTCTTCTCTTCTGTTCCCTTTCCTCTCTCCCTCCCTCCTTCCCTCTTTTTTTTTTAAGAGAGGTGGTTAATTTCTCTATTTTTTCTTTTACCTTTCATTTCCCTTTCCCTCCATTTCTTTCTAGTTATATTTTACTCATTTTCCCCCCAAGTTGCAGACTCCTATTGAAGACTGGGACATGCGTCTTTGTGTACATTTCATATTAGTATAGAACTGCAGTTTGCTTTAATATATCTGTAATATCTGACATTTTCACCTCTTTACTCTTTCAAAATACTTTTACTTTCCTTCTTTCTCAATGACTGCAACAGTTCCATGTGCTGAACAATGCAAGCATAACTATTTCTTTTTGGAAACCCAGTTGTTTTAATGGTTTTGGCAAGCTATCACGCATTGCAAATGAATAATATTTTATTTTTATACTTAAAAATTACATTAAAAACAATTCCTACGTGCCCATGTTTTACAGCCTTTTAGATTTGTAACATGAATATACAGTTGTTTATAGTACACATTGAGGATCCTGAAACTCTTTAAGATTTTTCTTAAAGTATGCAAAAGGGGGTAGGGTTAAGTTTACATTATAAAACAAACATTAGTACATTTAATAATGTTTCCTATTCCTGACTCTACTGCTTATTGGTGCTATGACTTTAGGCAACTTACTTTATCTGAGGCCCAGATTCCTAATCTATACAATGAATGATCTATCTTGTTGTGAGGACCAGAAAGCATATGAGCAATTGCCTGGGCCAGAGTATGATACTCGGGAGAAGATCGATAAATGCTAATTATTGCTATTACTGTGAATTGCCTTGCTCAACATCACATAGCTAATGTGTCAGAGCCTGGAGCTGACCCTGATTTCGTACTCCAAGGCTTGTTCTGGGTTTTGCATGGCACCAGGATGTTTCATTCACTTTAACTGCAGGCTCCTAGGGTCTGAAGTCACAGATCCATTGCCTGACATTTTCCACAGGTCCCGTTAGGGTCCTTGCTGAGGGAAAACGTATGGGACTGCATTAGCAACTTTTTCTTTCTCCAAGTTCTCTCACCGTAAAGTCACAGCACTTCTCCAAGCCTCACTTTCTCTATTTGAAAAGTAGGATAAAACTCCTGAATCAGAGTTACTGAAGGACTAAATGAGATTGAGGTGCATGTGAAAGCAGCATGCTCAGGTGTAACACAGAAAAGGTGTTTAATATATTAAAATATTTTTTTAAACGTAGACTTTGGCTTTTAAAAAGGGAGGATGAGGTGGTATGATAATTATGGACCCCAGAAAAGGACCTTTATCGCCACTGCCCCCTTCCAGCTCCATAGTAAGTACTGGATGAGGAAGTTGAAGTGGGGCAGGTCAGATGGGTTTAGGGCTCAGGGAGAGCAGGGGCTGCACCTATATTCTGTGAACACCAAGCAAAACATGTAGTAAGACAAGTAGGTGTTTAAGAAATGGTTGTGGGAATGCATTTGGAAGGATGGAGCACTCCCCACATGACTTTCCTGGGGGCGTCCCCCCACAGCCTCCTAAAGTTCTGTACTGTCCATTTGGCCGAAGAAATTGCCCAGACTGTCCATCTAAAAAAAACACAGAGTCTACCTCAGCACTGGCCAGTATGGATGCCACATGAGACTACTGAGCACTTGAAATGTGGCTAGTCGTATACAGTATTGCAAAATATATACCAGAGAGTGAGAACAATTTGAATAAAAGAAATAAAACCATCTCATTGATATTTTAAAAAATATATGCCAAACAATGATAATATTTCAGATAGCTAGGGTTAAAGGAAATATATGAATATAAACTAATTCCACCTGTTTCTTTTTATAAAGTGGCTACTACAAATGCAGAATTTCATATGCAGCTCGCATTATATTTCCATTGGATAATTCAGGGATTAACTCTGCAACTGTGCTTTGAGTGTCTCCTGTTTGCTGTGGCAGGTGTTGGTGAGCCTGATTCCCGCCCACTTGGAGGGCACATTCTCGTGGGAAAAAGCAGGATAATGTGGGAAGCACACACGACATCACGTCTCCTCTCACTTGTCCTTTTCTGGGCCGTCTTGCCTGCATCTCACCACATGCACCCAGACTCTTCCCCTCGGCCCAGCCCACAACACATGCAGAAACACTTCCTGTTTGGTTGTGTGCAGCCCTTTGTAGCCTAGGAGAGGGTGGCATGGACCCCCAGGCAGGATGAGCCAACCTGCAGGTATGGCCAGGTCTCCGGTGCCCAGTTCAAGGACCTTTTCAGAGCAGACCTGGGTACAGAGTACGATGTCCAAGCCAGACAGACAGGCAGGCAGATGCTCCAGTCTTGTGGTGTGCAGATCACGTGGATGTACAGGTCAACTCTGGGGCAGGTCACGTGGAGGCAGGTCACGTGGGGTCACAGAGTCAGGCCAGCCTTTCTCCCAGGCCCTGGCTGTGGCTAAGCCAAGCTCCGGCCCATCTCCAGGTCAGCCTCAGTCCCGGATCTTTGGGGAAGTCCTTGGTTTATACAAATGTCTGTTTCCCTCCCTGGGGAAGATAAGGAACACCTGGGGATTAGACATCCCTCCACCCCCCCACCCCCGTCGAGGTC